GCTGGCTCAGGAATTCTGGGAGTTGAAGTCCACGAGTTATGAAGGGCCCATAGTTCCCCATGCTGGCTCAGGAATTCTGGGAGTTGAAGTCCACGAGTCATGAAGGGGCCATAGTTCCCCCATGCTGGCTCAGGAATTCTGGGAGTTGAAGTCCACAAGTCATGAAGGGGCCATAGTTCCCCCATGCTGGCTCAGGAATTCTGGGAGTTGAAGTCCACAAGTCATGAAGGGCCCATAGTTCCCCCGTGCTGGCTGAGGAATTCCACAAGTCATAAAAGGCCAAGTTTGAAGACCCCTGCTCTATCCCGTTTTTCCAGCCATTGATAAAATAAGTTCCATGTTTAAAAATATTCTGAATCTTCTTTTTCTTTGATCCTCAATGTAATGTCTGTCCATTTTGGCACAGTCCAGTGTTTTATAATAATAATAATAATAATAATAATAATAATAATAATAATAATAATAATAATAATAATAATAATAATAATAATAATAAACTTGGAAGGGACCTTGGAGGTCATCTAGTCCAACCCCCTGCTCAGGGGGGAAGTTAAAGTCCACAAGTCATAAAAGAGCCAAGTTTGAAGACCCCTGGTTGGCTGAGGAATTCTGGGAGTTGAAGTTCACAAGTTTGGAGAGACATGCTCTAAACCAGGGGTAGGCAACCTTGGCTCTTTTATGACTCGTGGACTTCAACTCCCAGAATTCCTGAGCCAGCATGGGGAAACTTTGGCCCCTTCATGACTGGTGGACTTCAACTCCCAGAATTCCTGAGCCAGCATGGGGGAAACTTTGGCCCCTTCATGACTTGTGGACTTCAACTCCCAGAATTCCTCAGCCAGCATGGGGGAACTATGGCCCCTTCATGACTCGTGGACTTCAACTCCCAGAATTCCTGAGCCAGCATGGCTCAGCTTGGAAACCTCTCCCTTTCCCCTCAGCATGGCTGGCTCAGGAATTCTGGGAGTTGAAGTCCACGAGTCATAAAAGAGCCAAGGTTGCCTACCCCTGCTCTAAACCAGAGGTCCCCAACCTTTTGGGCACCAGGGACCGGTTCCGTGGAGAGAGAGGTTTTTCCACGGACCAGAGAGTGCGTGGTTTTGGTTGCTGCCTGCATCCCGCGGATGGGGCTTCACTTGTTTGCGTGGACCGGTTGCTGGCATGCTGCAGTCTGATCCCGGTCCACATACCGGGGGTTGGGGAGACCCGTTCTCTAAACCAGGAGTGGGGAACAATGGCCTCTTAACAATGCGTGGACTTCAACTCCTAGAATTCCCCAGCCAGCCACGTTCAGGCCCAAGCCTTCCGACAGGAGAACAAGATCAGGTGGAAAGCCAAAGAGAAGAACTAGGTCTAACTACTCTTTGTCTTAAAACTCCAGATTCCCCGCCCCGCGCGGACGATTCGAGGTCGAACCGGGAGCCCCCAGAAGCCCTGGGATGGATAACCAGACGTCTCCAGCTCCTGTGAAGGACTCGTGCACGTACCACGAAGAGTTTAAGCAGATCCTGTTGCCGGTGGTCTACTCCGTCGTCCTGGTGTTGGGGTTCCCCTTGAATTTCGTGGTCATCGTCCAGATCTGGCTGTCCCGGAAGGTCCTGACGCGGACAATGATCTACATGCTGAACCTGGCAGTGGCCGACTTACTCTATGTCTGCTCTCTGCCCCTGCTGATCTACAACTATTCTCAGAAGGACTACTGGCCCTTTGGCGACTTCACCTGCCGCTTCGTCCGGTTCCAGTTCTACACCAACCTGCACGGCAGCATCCTTTTCCTGACCTGCATTAGCGTCCAGCGCTATCTGGGCATCTGCCACCCGCTCTCCACCTGGCACAAGAAACGGGGGAAACGCTTCACTTGGGGGGTCTGCGCCCTGGTTTGGATCGTGGTCACTGCTCAGTGCCTGCCCACCTTCCTCTACGCCTCCACCGGGATCCAGAGGAACCGTACCGTCTGCTACGACCTGAGCACGCCGGAAAACTCGGCCGGGTACTTCCCGTACGGCATCACCCTGACGGTCACGGGCTTCTTGATCCCTTTTCTGTCCATCCTGGGCTGCTACTGTAGCATGACCAAGATCCTGTGTCAGAAGGACGAGTTGATCGGGCTGGCCGTCCGCAAGAAGAAGGACAAAGCCATCCGGATGATTGTTATCGTGGTCCTCGTCTTCGCCATCAGCTTCTTCCCCTTCCACCTGACCAAGACCATCTACCTCATCGTCCGTTCCTTTCCCGAGGTCCACTGCCTCACCCGCCAGGCCTTTGCCATCACCTACAAGTGCACCCGTCCTTTTGCCAGCATGAACAGCGTGCTGGACCCCATCCTCTTCTACTTCACCCAGCGGAAATTTCGGGAAAGCACGCGGCACTTGTTGGACAAGGTCAGCTCCAAGTGGAAGCACGATTCGTGAGGATGGGCCGAGAACGGGCGTCAACTGGAAGGAGATCTGATCTTCTACCAAAGACAGGCTGGTGGTCCTCACCCCGGGGCCCAACCGGCGGGAGAAAACCGCCGACGGTCAGCCGTAGGAGGCCATGCCAACCCGTGAGAAGGTCCAGAGGAACAACGGAGTGTAAATACAAGCCTGGCCATCCGTTCTTCTCATCCGTAGGTTTGGGGCACGAAGGTCTTCAACCGTTGGAGGCTGATCGATTGGACCAGGAGATTTCTGGATCCCCCGTTTGTGCGAAAAGGGAGACCAAGCAGAAAAATTCAAAGCAGGAACCACGAAGGCTGCTTTTATAAACCACGACCACCAAGCTAATCCCAAGCTAATATTTTTAATCAAAAAGTCAGAGGGTGTCTCCTAATCACATCCTTTGTAAGTGCAGGCCTTGGGGGGGGGGGACAAAGGAATATAGTGCTTTTACCCAGAATAAACTAAATATTGGCATTCTGCTGAATGACAAACGTGCCACACACAGTAAGGTGTGTGTGTGGGTTTTTAATTTAATAAATGTACAGTTAAGGACCTGCCAAGATACGCTTTATGGTGGAATAACAGAATAACAGAGTTGGAAGGGACCTTGGAGGTCTTCCAGTCTGATCCACTGCTCAAGCAGGAAACCTTATAACATGTTCAGTCTCTTCTTAAAAACTCCCAGCGATGGAGCGCCCACAACTTCTGGTGGCAAGTTGTTCCACTGGTTAATTGCTCTCACTTTCAAGAAGTTTCTCCTTAGTTCTAGGTTGCTTCTCTCCTTGATTCGTTTCCATCCGTTGTTCTGCAGATTGACTACTAGAGACTTTGGCATCAAAATATGGAAAGACTCCGGGGTGGGGCTTACGAGTGTCCCCACGTGACCTGTGAGATATGTGGATTGAAGACCCTGTTGTGGGAGAGGGGATCGAATGAGATCTAAAAGGGATTACCATCCAGCTAGGAAGAAATCTCGGCCCGTTCAAAAGCTCCAGACTTCAGCTACAGATGGGAACTCGAGCAGGCATTTTGAGGATCAAAAAGTGTGCAGCTCCATTACACGGCCGTTCTCCATCCTCTATGGATCCTGGAGAATCTTCCCGGGATCTTCCCAGGATATATCCCAGCAGCCCACTGGAAAAGGATTTTGACTCAGAGGAACTGTATTTATGCACTTACTTGGAAAAAAAATGGATTTGGAAGCAGAATTGGGGTTCCCTTAAATTCTGCCTTCTTTTATTTTGGGTCTCCTGATTCCAGCAAAGGGTGTGTTGAGGTTTGACCGCATACAGGTTGTCCTTGACTTACAACCGTTCATTTAGTGACGGTTGGAAGTTACAAGGGCACTGAAAAAAAGGGACTTAGGACCGCTTTTCACACTTACGACCGTTGCAGCCTCCCTGTGGTCATGTGATCACAATTGGCAACTGACTCATATTTAGGACGGTTTGCGGGGTCCCCGGGAGGGGAGGGACAAATTCACTTAACAACCGTGTTGCCAACTTAGCCATTAAGCGATTCACTTAACAACTGTGGGAGGAAAGGTCGTAAAAGGGGGCAAAACTCACTTAACGACTGTCCTGCTTAGCAATGGTGATTTCGGTCATATGTCGAGGACTGCCTGTGTATTAATTCATGCCTACCTTAAATATTCATTAGCTGTATGGGTGTTTTGTGTTCTGTCTTCCCTTCCTGGGCTTCTAGCTCTTTTGCTCTGGAAATGTATAAAATAAACCAAAATGTCTAAAAATAAACTGCGGTCGGAGAGACCAGCTCCAATCTTCATTGCACAAATCCAGCACGGTCCTCGGTGGGCTCAGTATCGGGTTCGAGTTCAAAGAACGTGGCCCCTGAAATGCAGTCCCCGGATGCAGGTTTGGGGTTCAGGATTGGAAAAGACAAAAAAAGAAGAAGAAATATCTGAGCTGATCAATTGTATTGGATGAACGGCCCCCTTTGAATAAAACGCAAGCCGGTTGTGGGTGTTCAGCCAGGAAAGGCAATGAATTGGCGGCTATTTTTCTATTTCAGCCCAGACAGCCACGTCGTCGGCTGAAGATTTGTTTCTACGGTTCAGCAGCCTGCAAAGTGGAGGATGGAGCCAGGAAGAGGCTTTCTAAGGAAAGCGACTGACCGCATTGATGATGTTACCTAGTTTGGTAATAAAACGTCTGCAAGAAAACCACCAAGCTCAGAGAGCACCGAGGATCCCACAGTCCTCTTCTTCTTCTTCTTCTTCTTCTTCTTCTTCTTCTTCTTCTTCTTCTTCTTCTTCTTCTTCTTCTTCTTCTTCTTCTTCTTCTTCTTCTTCTTCTTCTTCTTCTTCTTCTTCTTCTTCTTCTTCTTCTTCCTCCTCCTCCTCCTCCTCCTCCCCCCCCCTCCTCCTCCTCCTCCTCCTCCTCCTCCTCCTCCTTATTCCCCCATTTCACAAACTTAACTCCCTTCTAGCACTGATGATGTTACATAGTTTGGTAATAAAATATCTGCAAGAAAACCACCAAGCTCAGAAAACACCAAGGATCCCACAGTCCTTTTCTTCCTCCTCCAGGAGGAGGAGGAGGAGGAGGAGTTCCTCCTCCTCCTCCTCCTCCTCCTCCTCCCATTCCCCTTATCCTCCATTTCACAAACTTAACTCCCTTCTAGCACTGATGATGTTATCTAGTTTGGTAATAAAACATCTGCAAGAAAACCACCAAGCTCAGAGAGTACCAAGGATCCCACAGTCCTTTTCTTCTTCTTCTTCTTCTTCTTCTTCTTCTTCTTCTTCTTCTTCTTCTTCTTCTTCTTCTTCTTCTTCTTCTTCTTCTTCTTCTTCTTCTTCTTCTTCTTCTTCTTCTTCTTCTTCTTCTTCTTCTTCTTCTTCTTCTTCTTCTTCTTCTTCTTCTTCTTCTTCCTCCTCCTCCTCCTCCTCCTCCTCCTCTCCGTAAACCCTACTTCCTCCTAGCACTGATGATGATCCTTAGTTGGGTCCTGAAACATCTGCAAGAAAACAACCCAGCTCAGAGAGCATCAAGGACTCCACAGTTCTATCCTGTGCTAGAAATATTAATTCCTGTTAATTCCCCTGACTGGTAGAGGATTTCTTTCCCTCTTTGAGGTCAGGGATGAGATTTATTGGGGGAAAAAAATCATCAATGCATGACTGGGGACATCAGAGTTTAACACAAATTATTATGACTTACAGTTAGGATCTTGAACATACAATTTGTTCCTTTCAGTTGTCAATGTTGTGCTTTTTGTGGCCAGTGACCTCGATGCAAAAGGTGTATGCGTGTCTTGTTGTAAGGTTGCAGTGTTTTTCTATTTTATTTTATTTTATTTTATTTTATTTTATTTTATTTGGAATGGCAGTATGCAGATCTTCCAAGCATGCTGTTCATTTCCTTCTAGTAGTTCTCACTCACTTGAATTAGAATCGTGTTTCTCAAACTCGGCAACTTTTAAGATGTGTGGACTTCAACTCCCAGAATTCCATAGCCAGCAAGGCTGGGGACTTGAAGCTCACCCGTCTTAAAAGTTGCCAAATCTGAAAAAAACAGTAAATGAGAAGAATAAATATTTCAGTTTGACATCTGTGCAAACTCATAAGAGGAATGCACGTGTTCCACAATTCAAAAAATAATTCTGGCTTTTGTATTGGGGAAAATTTCTCAATTTTTGGTCCATTTTTTAGGAGGTATCTTTGCAAAAAAAAAAACAACTGAATATCTCATTGGAGTCTTTGCAGATTCTGGTTTTTTTTTTTCCCTTAGGAGCATTCTCACAATCCTCAAATCACAAATTATCCAATCTCATTTTAGATGAATGGGCCCAGCATCAGTGATTAAGCATTTGTGCTGAAAGGAAGGGAGGGAGGGAGGGAGGGAGGGAGGGAAGGAAGGAAGGAAGGAAGGAAGGAAGGAAGGAAGGAAGGAAGGAAGGAAGGAAGGAAGGAAAAATGTGCCCATGTCTTGAAGTACTTAGTCATATGCTTGTGTGCTAAAATAAAAAGCTGATGTAGAGTACATAAATGCAAAGGGGGGGGAATCACACCAGTGGATTCGCTGAGATCGTTTTGATGATAGAAGTTTGCAAAAAGAGAGAGAGAGAAATCCAGAGAAAGAGAGAGAGAGAAAAAGAAAGAAACAGAGAGAAAGAGAAACAGAGAGAGGAAGACAGAGAAAGACAGAAAGAAAGACAGAGCGAAAAAGAGAGAAACAGACAAAAAGAAAGAGAAAAAAGAAAGAAAGGGAAAAAAAGACGGTGACAGAGAAACAGAAAGAAACAGAAAGAGAAAGAAAGATGGAGACAGAAAGAGCGAGAAGGAGAAAGACGGAGACAGAGAGAAAGAGAAAGACGGAGACAAAGATAAAGAAAACGACAGAAAGAGAGAAAGACATAGAGAAAGATGAAATCTGGATCTTGAGATAACCTGGGAGTGAAGTTGGATATGGGAAAATCACATACAGGCCGTCCTCGACTTACAACCATTCACTTAGTGGCCGTTCAGAGTTACAATGGCATTGAAAAAAAATGACCTATGACTGTTCTTCACATTTACGACTGCTGCAGCATCCCCGTGATCAAAATTCGGGTGCTTGGCAACTGATTCACATTCATGACGGTCGCAGTGTCCCCGGGGGGGGCACGTGAACCCCTTTTGTGACCTCCTGACAAGCAAAGTCAATGGGGGAAGCCGGATTCACTTAACGACCATGTGACTAACGGAACAACTGAAGAGCTTTTAAGAAGAGACTGGACAGCCATTTGTCTGAAATGGTATAGGGCAGGGGTAGGCAACCTTGGCTCTTTTATGACTGGTGGACTTCAACTCCCAGAATTCCTGAGCCAGCATGGGGGAACTATGGCCCCTTCATGACTCGTGGACTTCAACTCCCAGAATTCCTTAGCCAGCATGGGGGAACTATGGCCCCTTCATGACTTGTGGACTTCAACTCCCAGAATTCCTGAGCCAGCATGGGGGAAACTTTGGCCCCTTCATGACTGGAGGACTTCAACTCCCAGA